TTTGGGCTGAGTATTAGATGGCAGCCTAAAGGTCAGAATCATCCTCAGACCTCAGCAGATCTTTTTTTCTTGTTTACTTCCAGGATATTTTTAGAGAGCAGATCTCTTGCTGGGCACGATCTGCCTCCCAGAGAGGCTGAGCTCTCATGACCAACTCATCCACACACACAGATTACCTGCAGGCCCAGGGAGAGTCACAGACTGTTTAAAGCACTTCTTGAGCACCCTTGGAGCCACAACTGATTAGTGAGTCATGCAAAGACGTCACTGTGAATAGATTTCTTGCACTTCTGCTTCACAAAATGGAAAAGCAGACAAGAAAGCCATTAATCCAAACACCTGATTTGTATCCAGGGCCTCATTTCTTCCAGGACCTCCGCATTATTTCCAGTTTCTGGAAGGATCAACTTCTCTTCTAATGGCAAGCCAAAGTCTGGCTGCACCAAGTTAGAGCAGAGGTCTACCTTGCCCAACATCCTCAAAATACCAACCACCAACAGACACCTTTGGAAGATCATGAAGACAAGGCAAGGGTATTACAGTAGACTCCAGAATTCTCCATCACCTTTCAAGCCATTTGTGATTTGAGGATTTCCTGAACTCAAAGGGATGTCTGTGTATTTAAAAGAACTTCCATTAATTTGTCCAATCGTTTCAGAGCCTATGCAAATTTTAGCAACAAAATCCTGGGGCAAAGATTTCACATCTTAGATAAGCTCCATGACAAAAAGACCTTATTTGTTCTGAGCCTCCTATCTTGCAATGTATTTGACTTTACCACAAAGCCTCATCACATCAACCCTTGAAAAAGAAACACAATCTGAGTTTTTTCAGACATGATATTAAAAAGTAACCTCGTTTACAAGATCAGAGACCAAATGGTCCAAAGAAATTATTTTGATGGACAACTCCTTTTCCAGAAAAAAAAAACCAACCATAGAACAATGTGTTCCTATGGGTTGAAGTAGAAAAGGAGGAAGCTGGCTGGGCCTTGAGGTCCTCTGAGGCACCCTCATACATGTTGATCTAGACAGAGGACTAGTCTGCAGTGGCAGGTGCAAGACACTTTCCTTCTCATTTTCTGTTTCAGGTTTCGGTGAGGGCGGTAGCCTGAATCCAGAAAGGCTGTTGAAAAACATCCTTACGCAGTCTAAAGATCTCCAACACCATCCAGCTTAAGCCATGACACTTGGCTACACTTACTGTGAATGCAATTCTTTCCAGGACTTCTACCCTACTGTTGAAAAAATAATCTGCTTTAGAAAGCATGGCCTTAGCTTGCATCTCAAAGAGATTTGAGTTTTGGAGCCAGAAGTGTTTCCTAGAGATCCCGCTATGTTCAAAGCCCTAGCAGCTGCACCTGACTAACCACAGCCAGCTTGAGAGCACTTCTCAATCTCTCTCACTGTACTGAAAAAAAAAAATCATTTGTATTTTCTTCCTCAGGAAAACAGCAGCCCATGTTTTTCAGTCACAGTTTTGGGAGAGGGGGAAAAAAAAGTGATCCATCTTTGAAGCAGAGAAACTCAAACTGTATTTGGGATCCTCTTTGAAACTTCACCTTTTGTGCCTGTTAAAACCAAGTATTTTGATATGAGGACCTGGGATGCCAGCCTTTCCCTTTCTTCCTTTATCCCTAAGTAATACTCATGGTTCTCCTCCTCACACATTTTCATTTTTCTTTTGCTACTTCTATTTTACAAGGCTGAGAGGGTTTGGACACAGCAAGAAAACAAAACAAAAAATAGGAGAGTAAGCAGAAATGCCAAGGTATAAAAATCAGACTTGGGAAATTCATTCTATGAAGTGGGAAACCACTTCATCTCCAGCCCAACCAAACTACCATTTTTTTCCTGCTAACGGGCACACAAGGTGTGTTGCTTCCAACCCAAGACCCATGGACACTAGTTACCCTGCTAGATTTGCAAACTGCAGCTCACAGATTTGGACCAGGGAGAATATTATGATAATCTAATTTGACCTCATCTGTAGTGCAGGCCATAGCACTTCCTCTTGTAATTCCTACAGCATGTGCAGGCTTTCTCTCTGCACTAAAACATTTTTCAAAAAGCATCTATCCTAATTTAACAACCGTAAGTGGTGGCATATCTAACACACACTTAAACTTGTGGCCTGATATAACCCTCATGCAAAACCCATCCAGCAGTCTGTACTTCCTTAGCCTCAGAAGCAAAGGATGATCTCTCCCTGACACTGAGATCCAAACTGACCTTGCCACTGGATTCTCAAAGATTGACTAAAAATCACCCCCAGGAAGCTGGTACCTCGATTTTGAGGAATCAAGGCAGGATGACTTGGTGCTCCCTGCTCTCTCCTCTCTAGATCCTAAGCATTCCCATGACTCCCTGGACAGGTAGGAGGAAAGAGGAGTGATTTTTCTCCTCTCGGATCCTAGAAAACTGTTGGGCCACTCATAAGACGGAACACAGACAAAAGCACTTCCTCAGGGGGTCAGTCCTCTGAGGAAATGCTTGAGAAGGGCATCCTTAATAATTCCTTTTTACACAGTCCCAGTCTAGTTCCAAAAGTAACACTAATTAATTCTGAATTACTTAGACAATATTTTTTCAGACAGGCTTTCCAACATAAGGATAACACCACCTCTCACTTAAAAATGCCATAAATTGTAGAGATGAATACCAGAGTCAGCCACCAAGAGGACCTCTAAAGAAGGGATCCTAGGAGACCTCTGAAAGCTAGGAGGTCCCAGAGTATCATAACAAACACCAAAAGAGCCTATGTACCAAAAATCATGTTCTCCATGACTCACATCTGAAACTGGCAACAGGCTTCTCTTCGCTTTAGAATCCACAGAGAGGCACGTTCAGAGCTCAGAACCCCAGAGCTGATGGCCACAGAGGCTCTCCTCTGAAACAGGCTTTCCACTGATCCTGCAGATCAGCCACACGGAGCTACTGACCGGAGAGAATTTCTCAGGAAACAGTTCTCCTGGCCTTCGGTGAATTATCTGGGGCTTAGCCTGGAAGATGGTTACAGACCAGGAACGATGCTTTAGACAAGAGCTCTGAGGAGTCTCTCCTCATCTGGAAAGGCCAGATGAGTCAGGAAACTGCCCCAAAAATGGAGAGTCAATTTGGGCAGCCCTGAGCTCTCCCCACAGAAACTCCCCAAGCCAAGGAGACAGCTGAACTGCATCGGCCTCACGCAGACTGGGAGCACCGGATGTTGTCCAGGACGCTGGTTCTTCGGAGATGAATCGCACAGAGCTATGCAGAACTCTCCCTTCTGCCCAGTCCCAGGGAAACAATCTGACACAACCAGTTCTTGCCTGTCTCCTGACGTCAGGACACCTTCCAGCACATGACAACCAAACATGGGGAACGTAACAGCAGAACACCCCAAAACAACCGGGAAGCACTTCTCAAACCAGAGCAATTGTAACTGCTGGCAAAGCCACTGCTACATGATGTGTTTCTGCTTCAAATTAACCCAGGCACAGTTAAGGTCCAAAGGGGATTACGCCCTTTTTGTTTTCCTATCAAACGCACCCATCAGCAGCACAGAACATGCACAAGTCAGACTAACAACCTCCAGACTATGCAGGCAGGCAGACAGCACCACCTTTAGTGGTGACACCCTCAGTGACACCACGTAAAAGCTCCTGGGGACACAACAGAGTTTGCTTATTTTTAATAAAAAATAAAACCACCCAGAGCTAATGACTAGCAAACACAGGGACATTGGACCACTTCTGCTATTGCCACTTTCTCTTAGAAATACAAAGGAGTCCTGCAGTCACAATAGCATCCCAGGACATGCAGATGTGACTTCAGAAGGTGAGCAAAGGTACCAAGCAAACACTTGTCCCAAACTTTTCTGCCCAAAAGTTCCAACAATAAGGTGAAACTGGTTACAAAACTCCCCTTCCTTTCACCAATTAATGTGCCTTAACATAACATCACTCTTTTACATGATCTTTCAAAAGAAAATTAATATCAAAGCCTTCATTCCTCACGCTATACACTTCACATGGTACTACTTTCTTCCACATCCATGGTGCTATCTGCAACAAGCTGGCCAGATTACCACCCAGCAAAATGTCTTCTGCCCCCTTAGGAAGTTCCCAGCGCTTTCCAACACTTCTGCCCCAAACAGCAAACCCAAGCACAACACCACTGAAGAGTGCAGCAGTCACAGTGCCCCGGCCCAGAGGTGACCGCATTCAGTATTTGGGTACAGTGATCCCCTTCAGTTCCTAATCCCATTGAAAATATTTGGATCTTTTAGTCTAACCCTACTGAGATTGCACCTCAGCTCACAGCCTCCTGACAGGGGACTGAAGGGCCAAGACTGAGCTCCCTTCTATCCTTGTCCTGACCCAAAATTTGCACATCTGGCTGTCAGGGACCACAGCACAAGTGACTTCCATCCACAGAAGCCCACCCTTCCCTGAGCCACCAGCTGGCACAGAAGAGCCAGACCAAGACAAGGGACAGCCACAGTGCCAAGTTTTCATCAACTATCCAAAACTAACATCACCACTTGCCCAAGACACAGCAGGAGTTTCAGGACCAAAAGGCTTATTTTTAACAAAGGATTACTGAAATATGAACCACAAGGCTTTGAGTTAGAAACAGGCCAAAATCACAGGTTTGATGCTACAACCACTCTGTTAGGAGTGTCTACAAACCTTCCTCCAGCATATGAACAAAATGCAAATCTGTGGGCCACAGGAGGCTTCTGGAGAGGGAAAAGCTGGAAAATCATTTTCCTTAGCCCAGGTCCTACCAAATCCAGACACAAGCACAAACACTTTGTTTCAAACCATCACAGAGCAGGAGTCACTGGCTGTAGCCCCTACAAAGACATGACAGCCACCCAGCATCTGTAACTGACCTTCAATCCACTTAACCCTGTGCAAACGACTTGCAAGCTCCTAGTCCCGCCTCCACAGTTCAAAAAACTCCTTTTTCCCCCAGAAGCAACAGCTTTGATCCAACACCACTCAAGAGACTTACCTTCCCAAACTGCTCGAAATACTGTTTCACATCCTCCACAGTAGTGTTCACAGACAGACCACCCACAAATATCTTCTTCGTTCGGGTCACCATCTGGAAAAAGGAAGGACAGGAATTCACTGAATAAACCCAGAGCGAGCAGAGAAGGAGACGCAAAGGCCACTCGCTCCCCTGCACTGCTGGGAAGCGCCTGCCCCTTCGCTGCAGCTGAGCTTCCACCTTCCCAAAGCCCTCTGGCCAAAAGCAGCTGGCAGATTTGTCCACGCCAGACCCCAATTCACACTCTGCCCCTCATGCCACCCCACCGTGCTTGCCAGCACCCAGACACCACCTCCTCCTCAGACAGCATGTTACCAGCCTCTCCCCTCACTAACTCCCTCGGCGCCCTCACGCTGCCCCAAAGACACGGGGTACGACTGTCCCCTCCCCAGCTCTTCCTGCAGCCCTGCCACACCACGGCCAGCCTCCTCCAGAGATGCCTGCTCTGATTCCCAGAGCAGAAAGACAGGCAGGAGGCCTGCCAGCACAGGTAGGCTCCCCAGGCTTTGCCCTCCCAGCTCAAAAACTCCAGAGCATCCCATCTTCCATGGAGCAAGCCTCATTTCACAGCCTTTCCACAGCCACTTAAATGGAGCCCAGTCAACTCCCAGTTAAATCTCTTTTGCCTTTGCAAGAAGGCCAAGAGAAGATCCCTCTGCCACTCGTGCTGCTGGGACAAGGAAGAAAACTAACTACCCTGAGAGGGGCCATTGCTGCCAGGCTGGGACACACCAAGAGCCTTTGAACTGGCTCTCCAGTTGCATCCTCCCCTTAGCTGCTTGGCTACACCCCTGCTCTCAGAGGAACACATGGTCCTAATTACCCCAAGGAGCATAGGGCTAATCCGCAGCAATTCCCTGGCTTGGAGAGCAGCCCGTTCTAACACTAAAGCACCTTCTGTCACCAAACTGCTTAATGGAATTAACCCAATTCCTACCATGTGCTTCCTGGCTCCAGTTACTCAGGATACCTGCTCACCAATTGTTCTCAGTGCCTGATCCCCCTTACTTCCCTCCCAGCACCAGTCTTCTCTTCCCTCTCTGCTTCTCGACGCTGCTTCTCCCCAGCTCTTTCTCCTGTGACATCACTCAGAATAGACTCTAAACTTTAAAACTCCCATCCAAGACCAAAGTTAAAGGGAGACCCAAAGTTTAAAGGCAATCTCCAGCATACTGCTGGCTTCTCAGTTAAAAGTTCTTGCAAAGAATCTCTTGTAGATAAGGTCCAACACCAAACCCCTTCTGTCTTTTCCAGCACTGAAGCAAGCAAGGGCACTTCACACAACAAAATCCTTCTCCCGCTCCCTGCCACACGCCTAGTTGTACACACACACGCATGCACACACCCGACCCTCTTTCCACCTGTACCACACCACAGCACAGAGCTGCTCTGCATTTCCCTCAGCCCGAAACTCCCAGACACTGGCTGCAACCTCACAGGACTAAGTCCACCCTGGGCAGCATTTATTTCACCATCTCTAACTAGCACATCCTAAACGACAACCGAGGCGCCTCCTGGTTCCTCTGGTGCCACACAAGCCCCCAGGGCTGTGCTGGAAGCCCGAGAGAAGCGGAGCACAGCTCAGCACGTCGTGCCAGCAGCAGGGCACAGCAGCTCCTGCTCGATGTGAGTCCTGAGCAGAAAGAACCCCAGGGAGCGACTCCATTGCACACATTGACAACCCTGCACGGAGGGACAAGAGTCACCACCACAAATTTCACCCTTCGGGGTGGCAACGGCTGCCCGCAGTGCTTACCTTGGGCTGTGCTCGGCGGGGGAACGCTACCTTCGGGTCAATCTGAAAGAGATGTGGGGAAGAACAGGTGAACATGCTTTTGCTGCCTATTTGCAGACACGGGGTTCCCTCCATGCACACAGCTGTCTCTACCCACGTGGCACCTTCCTAAAAACCCAGAGAATCTACCTGAGGGGCATTTTTATGGCTGCAGACATCGTTCCCTCTTGGTAAGGTGTAATCCAGGGAGACTACAAGTCCCAGCATGCAGTTGCCCATCTCCAGCGGAGAGCCGGCCAGACGCGCCCGAGAGCCCATCACATGCTGGGATTAACAGGCTGGGCTGCACCCTCCCACTGGGCCTGCCCCTGGGTGCCATGCATCACCGGCCTCCGATTAGAAGTGCTTCCTTTTGCCTTTCTGCTCTCTCCCTCCACTCTACCTACAAATACAGAGCTCACCTGCATAGTTCGAGGGCAGAAAAGAGGCGGCACGCAAAAAGCCAAACATTCCATCCCACAAAAGACAGGGCAAAGACATAAAGGAGCAGAGAGGACGGCAGAGATGAGACGGAGGAGGCTGGGCACGGAGGCTGCGGCGGCAGGGCAGCGAGCTGCCCCTATGGCTCCACACACAATGCCGCTGCCTGCCCCCGCCGGGCTCAGCCCTCCATT